TCCGACGTGCTAGAGACTTGTCATATGAGTTAAATTAAAGCTTGAACCCTCTACTTTACGAAAGTATAGCGATATTGACAACAACAAGCTAAATTAACTGTCAAAATTGATGTTTCAACATTTGTCTGCATACAAATTGACCTAAATACAACTATTTCAAAAAATGATTGGATTCGCTAAGAATTTGTTACTCGGGGGTTTTCGGGATCGCTGATTACGAATATGACGTCATATTTTCAAAACTCAAAATGTTGGATCCAATATGGCGATCGACTTTTAAAAATCGATTCAATTTGCCTGAAACTCGTTACTCGCAGGGTGTCGGGGTCGCTGATTAGGAATTTGTCCACAGATTTTTTCATTTTGACATCATATTCACAATCAGCGACCCTGAAATCCCTGAGTAACAAATTTTAAACCAATCCAATCATTTTTTAAAACAGTTGTATTTACAAAAACTAAAAAGTGATTCTTGGGACTTATAGGGGAGAGTGGGGCAAGACGGGGTACACAAATGAAGCAAAAGAAAAGAGAAATAAGGGAAGTTAAGAAAACTACTTAAATCAAGACTGAATAAAATAATAGTGACCAAAAAGAAAAGAGCTTGTCAGGTTAAATCAATAATTAGCGATTGTAAAGTGGAAAATACACCTTGTCTCTATAAATTGTAATGGTTATTATTTAGACTCAAATGAAGGCTGGGCTGCTTGTTCTGTCTGCGGCCAATGGGCTTTGTGCAATTGTGCTGGTGTCGATGACGAAGATGAAGATGCAACCTTTACTTGTAAAATTTGTCGACAGAAATAGGTTGCTTTTGTAGTACCGCGCCGGTGGGGCAAGATGGGGAGATTAGAAATTTTTTCCATATTATTAATTTTATGATTTTTTAAGAAACAGATGGCCTTTGTGCGCCTTTATTACTGAAGACTGATTCCCAAAGATGGTTTTTCTTAAAATCATGAACATAATTATCTATAAAATCTTTGTCTAAAAAAATTTTAATAACGAAAAATCAGTAGTCTTCTGAATCAAAGCTTCCACATTAAGATAATACATTTTTAAGTTTCCGACTATCTGCAAAAGAGATAATTCGAAAAGAGGATCAGGTACGATTTATCGGTTTGATGGAATCTGGAAGTCATTTGGAACAACTCCTTACCAAGTGTGTAGCGTTACATTTTAGAATAACCTGCCCACCTCTGAGGAGACCTGTGACACAGTAACCATACCGTCGATAATATCTATTATTGACAATTGTATTGTATTTACCGTCAAATGTTGCTTATACCGTTGATAGTATTTACGTTTAATTATATTAAATAATAATTAATAATAATAATAATAATAATAATAATAATTTCCTAATACTTTCTGGAAACTTTCATCAGTTGTGTTTACCTATAAAATATGAAAAGAAAATTTTATTTTAGGGCAGAAAGGAAATCTTAAATTAAGATCTAACATTTTATAGGCATCCAATGATAATTGTTCGGGGATAGCATCTTTAATGCTACAAATACAGACAACTATCTAGATTCTATAGAATCTAGATAGTTGTTATGTTACCTCTATAGAGGGTAACATAACAATATTTTTGTAACATCTTTTATAGTACCCAATAGCATAATGATGGTATCGAATAACATCTACTTTTAACCATCAAAATCTTACCATCCATTTCTCTCAATGTGTTGAACTTAGGATTAATCTTAAATTAAGATTTTCTTTTTTCTGTGCATTAATACTTTATGGGAACTATGCCATTGATACAGTACTTACCGTAAATAGTATACTAATAGAAAAATATTTTCTGAAAACTACACACATAGAGACTATAACTAACTTGGTTAGTTGAAATAGGGACAGCTAATAAGTTTGCAGTGAGATTAAACAGGTTTGCTATAACAGTGAATTTATTTAAATTTTTACTCATGTTGATTATCATATAGCAAAATAGTTCTTTGTTAGTTTCGATTACTGTCAATAGTTATCAATTTTAAATCAATTTGCAGTTCAAGTACAGTCGGTAGTGTATTTGTCATTTATGTATACAACTTTTGATCGAAGAAGCACACATGGAAAAAGCAGTTGGTGCATATAGAGTTGTAATTGATCGCGTATAGTCCATGTGTTCTTCCGTAAATGCTATTACCTCACTTCGTTAGCAACGGGCTAATGGGCCATGATACAAACAGTGTGCTAATAATGTAGAAACTTATCTTATTGCATTAAGCAATACATTGACCTTATATTTTCGTAATCAATTAAAACAGCAATTGGAAGGAAAATTCATCATCACAAATATCACAACCTCGTTTGCTATAAGCATTTATAGCAGTTTGAAATGGCCAATCGCCTCACAGTAGCAGAGACTACTGCCAACTGTGGACAAAATCTTTTGTGTACAAGCTGATCTCACTGTGAAGAAATCAGACATTTTAGATTGCTGACAGTGGTTACCAAACTAAACCTAAGAATAAGAACTACAGGCTAGAAAAACTGGAATGAAAACATCGAATGTCAACTTTATTATCATCGTTCAATCTTTATTTATTTTTATCATAAACCATTCATCGCATTGTAGGGTCATTATAATGAACCTGTCGTTAATAACATGGAGAATCCGTTTCGAAACAATAATTTGTGTGTGGGACATCATTTCAGTCATTTCTTGTTTTAAGCACCCTGTTCATGATTCTGAAAATTATCAGTGACTCCATCACACCTTTCGGTTTTTTTTCGAGACACGCAAGCCTTTCTCGCTCATATGGGTAAATGTGTCTCAGACGAAGAGAAAGAAAAAAGTGTTCGAGAGAGTAAGGAGGGGAAGATTAAAAACGATGATGGCATAAGAATTTGGTGAGGATGTAACCGAAAAACATATTTCGAACGAAGGGTCAGTCATTGTTTTCCCACGGTTTCTGGTCTACATCAAGTTTTTGGTTCACGAAACTTTCAACCCACGCACAACAAGAACGCTTTGTTGCATCAGGATTCGTGAATTTATGTCGTTGGGACAAATTTTATCGGGGTTCAGTGGCAAACGCTCGACGCCCACGCCATTCATAAATCACCGCGCGAATCGGATTCGAATCTGGTCCGCGATGTAGCATTAAGCTACATTTTCAATAAATGTACACTGAAAAAAATTAGGCTGACAAATTCAACTACCTTTGGGTAGTTAAGTGAAAAGTAGTAAAAACAACTACTTTTTTAGTTAGTCTAACCCGGTTTGCGTAGTTAATTTAACTATTTTTATGTAGTTGATAAATAGTAGTTGATTCTACTAATATATGTAGTTAAATTTTAACAACAGGTAAGTTGTAGAATTGACTACAGTGCTGAAGTAAGAACAACTAAGATAATAGTTTACTCAACATTTCATAAGTAGTAAATTTAACAATTTTATAGTAATAAATAGAAAGTAGTAAAAGGGACTACTTTTGTAAGTAACGTAACACTTTCTTAACTAGTAAATTTTACTACTTTAATATAGTTAACACCAAATTGTTGAATTAAAGAATTTATACGGTTGAATTTGAAACAACACGTGACTTGCACAACTGACTATCGTGAAGTAGTAGAGGGAACTAATTTTTTTATTAGTCAAACCTTTTTCGTGTAATAGACTTTACAACTTTTATGTAGTTATAGTAGTTGATTTGACTTCAACATTAGAGTAATAAAAATAAATGAATAATATTGTTGAAGCCTATCGAACCACTCTAAGTAGCAAAATCTACTACACAATGCAGTAGTTTTGGTGAGAAAATAATAGATAATTTTAACTTTTTGAACTTAAGTTTTACTACATTGAGTAGTAGATTGTACTACTTAAAGTAATTAGAAAGGATTGAACAGCATTTTTAAATAAAGCAAAGTTCAGAAATAAGAATTTAAAGAAGATAAAAAGAACTAGTAAAAGTAGTAAATACTACTACATTACATTGTAAAATGAACTACAGTTGTCGGTTGATCTATGTCAAGAATGTCATCAGGTTTCATGCAGACCATCGTAGCGTGCGAGCGTGGTTAGGTGGTTAGGTTATCGGTTTGCGAATGTTAGGGTCGTGCGTTCAATCCCCGGCGTTTGAGGATTTTTCTCCATTATGTACATAAGTGTTGAAAATTATAAAGTATATGTGACCAATAGGAATGCTAGAGGAGATGAAAAATGAATTTCAGTAATAATAATAATTAATAAATAATAATAAATAATTCTACTACTTTTAAGTAGTTGCTGACAAAAACAAAAAGATGTTAATTTTTACTTTATAAAACAGATCATTAACTACTTTTAATAGTTAATTCTACAACAGAAATGTCGTTAAAGCCTATCGAATTACTTTAGGTAGTAAAACCTACTACTTAAAGTAGTAGATTTAAAAACAAAATAATAGTTAATTCTACAACAAAAATGTCGTTAAAGCCTATCGAATTACTTTAGGTAGTAAAACCTACTACTTAAAGTAGTAGATTTAAAAACAAAATAATAGTTAATTCTACAACAAAAATGTCGTTAAAGCCTATCGAATTACTTTAAGTAGTAAAATCTACTACCAAAATCTTAGTTGTTATAATTACTTTAAAGTTAGTCAAATAAACTACTAAATCACATTCAACCAACTACATTCTTAGTTGTCTTAACTGCTTTTATGACAGTTAGTACAACTATTTGAATTCAGTTGAGGACCTATTGAATTACGTAGAGTAGTTAAAAAGTAGTCAAATCTACTAGTTTTTTTTTTCAGTGTAGAAAGAGGAAACGATCTTGCTGATGAAAAAAAGGAATGATAAATGCGAACGTATATGGAGCATTGTGGAATTTCTTTTAATATACAAATATTTACATTTTTAGAAAAAATTACTGTCAATGAAGAATTAATTTAGTTAATTCATGTACGACTTCTTGAAAACTTGAACAAAAATCCTTGTGAGAGGAAGTATTATCATTATCATCATCCTTTTAATGAAAACAACCTTTTCTTTTTTGTTTGCAGATCTCAATTCGGATTACATAGACATGCCTTTCGGAAGGGGTGGGCCCGGAACTCCAGGAATGCCAGGTTCAAATAGTCGCACGAAGCGAATGAGAACGAGTTTTAAGCATCATCAACTTCGAACGATGAAAAGTTATTTTGCTATCAATCACAATCCCGATGCAAAAGATTTGAAACAGCTTTCACAGAAAACAGGCTTGCCAAAGAGGGTATTACAGGTGAGCATCCTTTTTCACAAATATTATATGTACATTTATTTCTCTTATTTGTAAATTGATTATGATATATATATATATATATATGTATATATATATATATATATATATATATATATATATATATTTATATATATATATATGACGGGTTCCACGTCAAGTGACCCAGGTCCAAATTTTAAATGTTTGGGATCGGGTTAAAAGTTTGCACAAACAGTAGTCCTATTCGATACAATTAAAAATACCAAATATTATTAATTTATTTAAACAAATATAAAAACTGGAGGGGGTAAAAGTTTAAATTTTTGGTCTAACATGGAATATTTGAAAAATTTGTAGTTTCTTTAAAACAAAACGAAAATACATTTTCTATTTTGGGTTTTTCTGCTGTTTTTCAACACTTTCTAATATTGTAAACAAATGTAGAGAAAAAAAATTTTGACCTTGAAAAATTAAATTAAAAAATAAAATTTCATTTTTTCATCAAATGGACAGTTTTTATTTTTTTAAATAAAATTTTATCATAAAGAGAAGGTTTTTTCCTAAAAAAATGTATAGGTCAAAACGTGGGACAAGAACTTTTAACTGGTCAAAATAAACATTTACTTCTGCAATCCACCGCCCCTGCGCGTTGTTGGGCTGTATATTGTTTGTAACAATTAAAATAAATTATTTTATGCTTTATTAATTATCTGGTGGTCATATTGGATAAATTTAAATTGATTTAGATCATGTGCATTAACGGAATAAGAAAATAAACGTCCTTTTTTAAAAAAGTGTATTAATTTGTTAACTTTGATTTAAAAAAAATTATAAATAATTAAAATCCCCAAAATCGGCCTCGAAGGATGTCTTAAGAATTTATTCCCCTTTAATTTAAGACAAAGAACACTCAAATCGGTTAAAAATTGTAAGCTATAGACATTTTTTAATAGGAAATTGTAAAAAAAATTCCACTGTGGGCCGGTGCAGTGCAGTTGTAAATGCTTAATTTGACCAGTTAAAAGTTCTTGTCCCACGTTTTGACCTATACATTTTTTTAGGAAAAAACCTCACCTTTATGATAAAAATTTGTTTTAAAAATAAAAACTGTCCATTTGATAAAAAAATGAAATTTTATTTTTTAATTTAATTTTTCAAGTTCAAACAATTTTTTTTCTCTACATTTGTTCACACTATTAGAAAGTGTTGAAAAACAGCAGCAAAACCCAAAATAGAAAACGTATTTTCGTTTTGTTTTAATGAAACTACAAATTTTTCAAATATTCCATGTAAATTTTTGACCTGGGTACCGTTTTACTGTTAAAAAATAATTGTCGTTTCTTTCTTTTTTGTTTTCTTGTCACCCATATAATCGAGGTGACATTTCAACTGCTGTCAAGGTACCTTTCATCGACTGATTCCGTATCGAGCAATACTTTTAAGAGCATATATGTGTACGTATAAAATATGTACGCTCGACGATATATGACTTGATTATAGGCATGACTTATTAACTATACGCGGCTTAGATCTTATATAGCGGAGTTATAATTTACACCGCAAAATACAATTTATGAGCTAGAAATGTAGCGGAGTAGGAGACTCAATTATAAAACTTGGTCTGAAATGCCGGGGACCTCATAACTTAATCCAAAGTTATGCGAGTACACCGTAGAGCGCACAATGTATAGGCACAAAAAGAAAAAAATACACATGAAAATAATAGACGGGAGCAAGTCATAAGTTTACTTTTAACATAATACTTTTTCCCCGATTTCTTCTGGCCGTTTTACAATATTGATTTATAAACTTTGCTTATTTATCAACAGATCCAATATTTCGATGCCTCCCGTTCATAAAAAGTATATATTTCGGATGTTGTAAACATTACCTTAGAATATAGTAAGGTTATAGTAAAAATTGACTGAGAAATATGCAACAACTTCGAATGGAATTCCAAATATATTCTCCGTCGAAAGTCAATTGAACTTTCAGGATCTTCCGATTCTTTTTCGATTACACGGAAAAACCTTTGAGAAGTCTGTCTTCCCACTGTCACAAAATTTCGCTTCTCACTGCATGGAAAGTCTGATCGCCCGCCACTGGGCGCGTAGCATTACCGTTTTCGATAGACAAACTTCCCAAAAAGTTTAGAAAATTACAACTGGGTACGTTGGTCACCCAGTTTGGGAGTGCAGATGAACAAGTTTAGTGGTGGCGCTGACGCATAAGTTTCGGGTGAGCAGACTGCTTAAAGGTTTTTCCGTGTATAATCGGAATTTTAAGATAATTTCTAGAAAATTTCTCAGGTTCTCTTTCGAATTGTATTTTAAATATCGTTTCTTCTTCTAAATATTATATAAATCCAAGTTGCAGGAAGATATACATTTAATTTAAAATATCATTTTTATTAACTTATTCTATTCTTAGATTATTTATTCTTGCATTTAAAAAAATTAATTAATATTTAGTTTTCATTTTAATATAAAATATGGAAAAGGAAAAAAATATTAATGGTTTCGAATATTATGATAATTTATGCTAAATATTAATTATTTAAAACAACTTTGAGATGAATTATTTGATATTATTTATAATCGATTGCTATTTACATTTCATTTGAATATTGTAAAAGAAATTAAATAATTATTTTTATTACCAGCATTGCAATTGAGGTAACTAATATATATATTTATATTCGTGCGTTGTGTATATAAAATATGTTGCAATATTGAAATTAGTCTCCAGTTGAAGAATATTATTGCTTTATAACTCTAATGATTTAATGTTTATTAGAGATCTTGTTAATTAATTTATTACAAGATAAAATTTTAATTGCACGGTATTATTCATCAGTGGATAGATTGTAAACATTTTGATTGAAATAAAAGTCAGATTTTTTCTTTCAGATTTTCAAAATCAAACTTTAATTACGTCATAATGAAAAAAATATAATGAAATCAAAATAATATAATTAATTTTTGTAATTAAAAAATTAAATATTTCGAAAATTTTTTATTACCTATGCCTACTTTTAAAATATATTTTTTCAGAAGGAAAAAATTTTTTCTGTTTAAAAAATAGTCTAATTATTGTTGCTCTTTGTATGTGAGGGTTAAACATTATTAAACTAGTTTTGGCTAAGAAGGGTTGCAGTGGCATTGAAATTTTTCTGGTGATAAATTGGCTGGTTGCGCGTCACTTAAACGGTAATGATGAGAGAGAAAAAGAAAATAATGAAAAAAGAAAGAAACTAGAGTCAGGAAGATAGACCGCGCGAACGTTACCTCGATGTTTTTCTTTTCAAAACATTTTCTTTTCCTTTTGGAAGAGGCGACTGGATAAAAATATTCACGGGCGCGACCCCGAAGTGTGTATATTCTTCTCCCAATTAGTGGCGCTCTGAACCGCGTTACGGCTGTTGGGTTAAAAGCGCCGCAGCGCGATATTTCCGTCGACACACTAATATATATATATATATAAGAGAAGCTGCATCGTCAATCTGACAGAAGGCAAATCTCAAGTGTCTTCAGAATTGTTCGCCGAAGTATAAGGTGTACACCTACATCCTCGCTATACATAAATTGCCACTAATAAATCATATTCTGTGCTATTTATTTCATAAAGCTACTGACCCATTGTCATAGAGCACAAAACATTGGTAAATCATTTTGGCCTAAAAAAATTTAATTCAACCAAATAGTTTGTACGAGACAAATAATGATTTGTTTGTTTATTAACTAAAATATTATTGAGGCAAACAAAAAATGTTTATTTGTGTTTTTAATTAAAATTTTCTGAAGAAAAGTAAATTATTGTTTTATCCTGACTTGTATATATTATATGAGAACAATTAATTTTGAAATTTTTCATGTCGTAGAGCAGTGTAGTGAAGTGATTATTTCTCGATTTGGGATAACAAAAATCCATAGTTTGATTCCTTACAAGAATGCAATTTTTTTTAGATAAAAAATATGTAAATCTAATAAATATAAATTTAATACATACATATGTTAAATTATTAACGAAAATAGGAGATAAAAAATAATGGTAATAAATATTACAGTAGGGTCATTTAGAATAAATATAAACAGTTAATGTTTGAAATTAATTTAAAGATTTAAAATTAAGTAAGACGAAAATATTTTAACCTCCAAGTTATCACTTAATTTGTAAAAGATTCACTGAAAAAAATATATTTATGGTAAATTGCGATTATCTCGGAATCTAGAACCGTCAAAGTGGTCCCTTTTCATATAAGGACTTCTACTTAATATTAGAAAGAAAGAAAAGAAGATAAAATTAATAAAGGAAAATATTTTTCAAAAATATTTCAAACTTCTTGTTTATTTTTTCTTGCAAATTTTATTCTTTATATCTAGAAAATTTTTCGCCTTTTTATGATTGCATTAAGTGTCCTTTTGGTTATTATATACCACATGCTCTAGTGACTTGAAAAGAGAGTCTCAAGCACTGCATTCATTTATACGTGTTGGTGTAAATAAAATGTGCTGTATATATATATATGAAAATTTTCTCCGCATATCAAATGAATTATAATTTTTTTTTCTTTTAATATCAAAAGATTTGAGTAGAAAGACGTATGTACAGCACTTTTTTATGTATATACGCGAGTATTTCGTATTCTTTTCGCCTTTTTACTTTTTCTTTTTTCAATGTGATTTTAAATATCTATACTCTTTTATCGTGACAGGGATAAAAATAAACATTCGACACCAGCGTAACATGATTATTTATTGTATGTGAAATTCTAATAAAATTTTTCGTCCGTTAAAAGGTTTTCTAAAAATTAACCGAAAAAGTGGTCTTACTGAATGAGAGACTTCAGTTCTTAAAAAGGGATATGTATTATAGCATTGATTTTAAATTATATATGCTTTTATAAGATATTTGTAGCCTCAATTACTACAATTATTAATTAATAGCAACATATTATTTTTGACAAACCTTTATATGTATATATTAGGGTGACCGTTATTTTCCAAAAGTTGGAATTTTTT